GGACCTGGGCACTCCAAACGTGGCAGCACCATTGCCTTGCAGGTAAGCATGCTGTGGAAAACTGACTCTCTGCCATGACTGACCAAAGGCATCACATGCTACTGTCTGCCACTTGCATCACCCTGTACATCATGACCAATCCATCCCATGTCAACCAGCATTCCATTCCCTACACACTGACCCCATACCCATGCTGTGCAGGTACATCGCAATGTGGGCTCCGGTGCAATCATTATCGACGAAATTGGCATGAGCAGCATCAAGCATTTGGCATTGGCATGAGCAGCAACATCAACAATCGGCATGAGCAGCATCGACTGAGGACAACACACCACCGTCCACCAAGCACCGACACCCAGTCCCCCAGACACACAACCATACCTACAACGGCTTCATCCTCTACCGCAACCTCGCCCAGGATGTCTTCCTACTCACACGTCAGCAGCGACAAAACAGCAGTCCGGCATCTACCTCACCGAAGCCTCCACCATGTTTGCAGGTGGCCCAGTCACCCGCGAGCACATTGGGGAGCTTGTCGACAAGCTGAATGTGTGCGCCATCCCTAACTTGGCAGACCTCACACCCCTCAAGCCCCGTGTCGTTCTCCAACGAAACGAACCGAGGCACGCGCTAAACACGCATCTCATGATGCTGCAAGCACAGCACCTGGGCATACACTTGGTGGTCTGGAACACGGACCATGTACCACACCAGCCCCCTGGCACAGCCCCACTGGCTCCACTCACCCGTGTAGAGCAGGCCGTTGCCATGCGTGTCAAGGATGCCAAATTCGATCACACCACGGTGGACATGTGGTACTACGAAGGCACCCCTTACATTCTGCTGGACACAACCTGTGCTGAAGCTGGCGCGTTCCATAACAACGAGGTTGAAGTGTGTGGCCTCCTAACAGACGAGCGGGAACCACCAGATGATGGCACTGGACCATACTGGCGGCTACAGTACCTCCCTGCCACTGTACTCGTATGCCTGATGCATGGTCACAGCCCCACCACGATCCTGCAGGGCTCACACGACCTTGCCAATCATGGCGCCACTTTTGTGCTCTGACCCGGTGCCAGCAAGGAGCCTGCGACCATCCCGATGCCCGCCACCAACACTGGCACCGCACCCAAAGCCATCAAGCGCATCAACTTCGGCCTCGGTGACTGGTTCACTGTCACGGACCACTGGGTACAAGGCCGAACATTCTGTGAGTGCTGGGTCGTCGACCTCAGTGTGCCACCAAAAGGGATCAAGCACGCCACGCTCTTCATCCTCCTCACCCGCTTCAAGTCCCTCAATGACATTCACCTCCTACACCCACTCTACACCACCCCGACCGAACACTGCAGTGTCATCACCGCCTTTCACCGTGCCACCAAGCTGACCGACAACCTAGCCGCCGAACTGTGTTTGCTGGACACCACAGCAGCCGACACACGCCGCCACTACCGGAACGAGTTCCAGTGGGCACAACAGCTGGAGGCGCACCATGCACCCAGCACCGGCACCTAATCGCCAACCAGCATCACCTCCCTCACGCCTTCCCGCGGCATAAAACCGGGTGTGCTATCTCAGCACGACAAACCATCCCTAGGGGTGGCCAGCACTTGCTGGGCAGCAGGTTCGAATCCTGCGATGGTTTTCACATTTTAATATTTCCATGTTTACATGTTTTTTGTGTTTATAAAACACATTTGCAATATGCACCCGAATGCACCCGAACCTGTCTGGACCCAAACGAGAGCTATGGCACCCTCGGGACCGAAGGGACCACACCTCATGTATTCCGGTTTCCTGCCTCCTGTGCTAATGACAAGCATAGTTCACAGCATTACCACTGCTGCAACAAGCACAGCTACCATGGTGTAACGATGCAAATGCCAATCTGAGCATCCTGGGTTACACTTTTGCTGTGTTATAATGGTATCGTGCGGTCCCGTCACGACTTCCGTAACCAACTTCGGGTTGGCGGTTCGATTCTGGTAATCAGTATGTCACAAATTGGCGATTTCGTGGTGTAGTGGATAAACCATCGCACTGGCGCGAGGTGGGATAGCTCCTGTGCTCGAAATAATGGCCGAGGGCATCGGGGGGCAATGTAATGACGCAAATGCCAATCTGAGCATCCCAGGTTACACCTTTGCTGTGTTACATGGTGACAACACCTGTAAATTGTCATATGTGCCACAGCCACTAGCCTGTATGGATGCAGGGAGGTTTCAAGAAAGTCGACACCCAACTTGTCATTGTTTTTGTTGCTGGTGTGGCTCTGAAACAGTGCCTCTGGTCTTCTCACTTGCAACACAGCCGCCATCATGCATTACTAGTCCATCTTTTGCCCTTGCACTGCCACATTTAGCATAACAAACACAACTTCGGCCAGACTATGCAGTGAGTGCTGAGGTGCAGAGAGGGCTGATCCATGCGAGCCCCTGTGTTGTCAACAGTTGACGGGACAGGTTGCCTTGAGAGCACGTCAGCATTTTGGTGCTTAAGACCCGGGTGATGCACAACCTCAAGGTTGTATTCCTGCATGATGAGTGCAAACCGTGCATACTGCCCCGCAAGCCCATCTGCACTCATGAGGTACGTTAGGGGTTGATGGTCAGTGACAAGAGTGAACTTGGGCCCACCAAGGAGGTGGTGTCGGAACATTTGAACCGCCCAAACAGCAGCAAGCATCTCTCCCTTGTAGCTGCTACAATTTTTTTCATGTTTATTCAGGAAACGACTGATGCACGTGCAGATTTACTCATTTCCCTGATCGTCCAGCTGGCCTAGAACAGCACCAATTCCATGATTGGAGAAATCAGTGTGCAGGATCAGCGGGCGGGTATAGTCTACACGGTGCAAAATAAGACCTTCCCTGGAAAAGACATACTTGATGCTCGTGAAGGCCGCTTCCTGCTCAGGGCCCCAAATGCACGGTTGATCTTTCTTCAACAAGAGGGTGAGGTCAGCAGTTAGCGAGCTCACAGGTGTTTAGTACCGCGGCAACATGTATGAGATGTTCATCTGGGGTTGCGCTAAACATAAGTACACCATCTATGTATGCACGAGCGCAGCCATCTAGCCCTGCCTTAGCCAACTCGTAATCCATTACTCGTTGGAATTTTGCCGAGGTGTTCTTCAGGGTGTAAGGCATGTGTGTGTACATCATGAGCTTATTCCCAACCCAGTAGGCAGTTTTCGGCTGGTCTTCAGGCAAAATGGGAATTTGCAAGAAGCCCTGCCGCAAATCTAGCTTAGAAAATATGCGTGCATGAGCAAACTGATGAAAAATGTCCTCCGGCCTGTGCAACCCATAGCAGTCAGCCTGCGTGTGCTTGTTAACAGGCCGGTAGTCCTGCGCCATGCGGTTGTCTGTCCATAGGCCAGTGTCGGGATCTTTTTTCGGCGCCTATAACTAGCAAAGTACAGCACAGCACAGACAGCACAGCACAGACAGTGGCAACCTTGTGTTCGACAACGATACCCGCCCTGATGAGTTCCTCTGTTTTTCCCACTATGACTTCCTTTTCCATAGGAGAGTAACGTCTAGGGGGCTGAACTATAGGCCTGTCCGTGTCTAGATCCAACGTAAAAGGACCCTGATCCCCACTATATCCTGGTAATCCTTCCATGGCAGAGGCAAAGGACAAACGTTTCCGTGACCGCACTATGTTTTGTAAAGATGGACTAAGGACAGGCTAAGCAGAACACTGTTGCCCCAGATCCACCCACCTTCCGGGTCCTTCTGGTAGCGGTTGTAACCAGCTGCTGCTGAAACACCTTCGGGAGTGAACGAACCGACTGTTTGCCCTGGCATACATAGACAGCGGTCACAGTTGACCTTAAGAAGTGAACAAATGTCCTCGCCACACAACACCAAAGAGCAAAATGGTCGCAGCCTCTTCCTGCATACAAGTAGTGGAGGTAGGAAGAGATTAGGTCGCGGGCTAATCGTCGCTTACAAGGCATCAACTGCAAAGCTGCTATTCTTTATCTAAGTGACCCTTCCGGCTGCACTCTAGTGGAGACTGACACACCAGAAACGCCAAACGCCTATGATTTAGCGTCTCACCAGGATAATATTGATGGGTCTCCACGGCTGGTTACCAGCCGGGATGTCAGCTGCAGCTGGCGACATCCCAGTTGCCGCAGTGCCAATCCGAAGAAACTTGACCTGATGAAGAGGTGACATTTCCTTGTCGGAATCAGTCGAGGCAAAACCAGCCATCTGCGGAAGCCCCGTCCTTTCAGACATCTCTAATCAAACGAACAAACATCCCATAAAATCATTATACGCTTGTATAATCTCATGACCCATGACTCAGAGTGTATGAGCAGGAAGGAACTGGTGGGCGCCTGCAGGCCTATATATGCGCCTGTTGATGGCCTGTTGAAGCTTGGATCCTGTTCCACATCGTACAACACACAACCTGTCAATGGTTCTTGCACATTATTGTCCAGCAAAGGCAAGGTTCGAGTGCACAGGGACCTGACTGAAAGCCGGCGCACTGGGCGTGCTGATGAGACATAGAAATCAACGGTGGAATGGAAGCTCTTAGGCAAAAGCGCTATTTGTCTTCAACACAGCATTATTTAGCATGTCCATTACGAAATCAGGGAGAAGGGAAGTTGACACGGACCAGCGGAGACCTCTTCATGGCTGCTGCGCCCCTGCTTGCGGCTTCTAGTGATGAGGCACCAGGAAAATCTGGCATGACGTGATGATCCCAAACCCTAATGGCCTTAGGTAGCTATGGTAGCCAGTTCACGGAGCCCGAAGCACGACGGTATACTCTTAGTAAGAGCAACTGCAGTTTACCCCCAGAGGCTTCGGGAACGCCGCCGCGGCATATCTCTTCACGCAGACCCCTTCAACTCCGTCATTGAAAACATCGCTGTCCACCAAGACCATGGTTTCCTAGCTGGACGAGTTCCACTTACGGCGCAGCCGTCGTGTTTACAAAGCGCGCCGTGTCAGCTTTCTGTGCTTTCAGGGACAGTCGGGCGCTTCGTTACAGCAAACAAGGCGGCGGTGGGATTTGCCCGCATTCCCCCTCTCTCTGCCCTTTTCTCCTCCGCCCTACGCGCCCTTCACTCGCGCACTCGCACGTTCACCGCAAAGGCACCAACACCAACATCAACTGTTATGACCCTCCCCATTTGGCTCTGGTCAACGAACGTTGAACCGTCATTTATGCTGAAACCTCGCTAGCCTGGAAAAGGGGATTTCCTCAACTCGCTCAATGGCCCAGGCTCCTGCACACGCGGTTAGGGTTCGGGGTTCTTGCACATGAATCAGATCCGGCAGGGACTTCCGTTACGAGCGCCGCGGGCCTTGCACGACTTCCTCGCCGGATGGGCGGCTGGCTACCCCATGTATACGGTTCGAGGTTCAACGTACGCAAGCCACAGCACATGGGGGTGTAGTGATTACAGGGGGCTTCGCTCTTTTCTCCAGTTTCAAGGAAGCGTGTCTCTTCGAGGCTCAAGCTAGTTAAGACTAGGAAGCAGGTTCAAAGGACACCTTACTTTCCTTTCGCCAGTTTCCGCCGATTAGCTAGGGCTCACGGCAACGCAAGTGCATGTCAGTGCATGTCATGGAAGTAAAAGTGTGGGCGCGCGGCGTGAAGGACACCACAGAACTCACATGGTAAGGCATGCCTGGTCCTCGTGTTTGCCCAAGCCCACGTCTTGGAGTTTCACATGTGACAACCCTTTTTGGTTTTGATGCGGTAGGAAGTAGTTAATTTATGGCGTTTCTAAGTTTACGATTCTGGTTGCCTTCGCGACACATCGCGGACTTCATCCTAATGCTTGCCATAACGTCAGCTCGCAGCTTCTCGGCTAGAAGGCGGTGGACTTTGGATGCAGATGGATCTGCAAGTGCCCGGACCCCGCGGTGCAGAATAATCTCTGTTAGGTGTTTTAACTGGAAGTGTACGGCATGGAATGGACGGAAGCCCATGCAGGCTCGTGCTGCTTACCTCCGCTTGGTCCGTACGAAATCCGATAAGGTTAGGCAATCGTCTTAATGCGTAGTAACTTATCATTTCACTGAAACCAGTGTACAAGCAAGGAAAACCAAAAGGTCAGAACGCTGGTACAAGTCGAGCAGACGTGGATAGGCATTGCCACAATTCATTAGCGGCAATTGAGCACAGCTGAGACTGGCAGCGCGAGCAATATTCTCTGAATCATAAATTCGTGCGGTGTCTATAACTAACCAATCCCAATCTGTCGAAAGGCTTGCAGAATTGTAAGGTTGCTCCTGGCCATGCAACTAAATTTAGGATGTTAATCGTTGTTGGAGTTGAGGCATCGCGGGGCCTTGCGTAGCAGGGCAATGTTGAGGGAAGAGTGCTCTCCTAAGTCTCAGCTCCAAGTTATGGTTATGGAAGCAGCTTCCTGGCTACGGGATTACGTCACCGCAATAAAAAATGGCAGGTGAGACTCTTAGCCTCGTATGCGGGGGGTACACGATGGCGGGATCCCTGGCCTTTTCGTCGTGTATGCCATGATTTCTCACGAGCAATTGCGTTTTGCAGGTTACATCCCTTCTCGGCTGTGGAGCGCAAAGCTCGGGCGGCGACAAGGAATGAGGCTTGGTACGTGCAACAACAGCCCAAACTTCCAGGTCCACGGCGGTTGACGTGCGCAAGGCTGCTAAGCAGCGCGGCATACGCACGCCCAAGAGTTGTAGAAGCTTGCGTTTTGCGGTACCAGGGTTGGTTATTTCCAAACCCTGTGCGGCTCCCCGCAGGGGACCGTCAGGCACTATGCTGGCGGAGCTAGCAAAGCTGTCGAAGGACCAAGAACACTGCGAAGTGATTTTCGTGAGTCTAGCCTCAAGGATCTATCGTTGGCTTGGCACATATGACATGGGGAGCCGGCGGCATCGGTCTGCGATGAACCTTTCTCAGCATCGGGAGATTAGCAACGCCGACTGCATTTGCAGATGCTCGTTGCTAATACCTTCTTCCCCTCTTCCTCTTACTCTGGGGTGATAATGCAGTGCATATCCCTACCTCGGCGCGTTTCATCAGTCACCCCTCATGTGGCGTGTTGCGCTTCCTCCTACACTGGCACCATCCTCCGCTGCCCGCCCAGCGTCCGCGGTGCTACTCTCTCAACTTTCTCCCCCCCCCCTCACGCATGCGCAGGCTGTACTTGAGTACCGCATTCGGAGCCCCGAGCACAAGTGGCTGTGCGTGTACAAGGTATACTCCTAGGAGCTGTCAAAGCAGGAACGCATGCGAACGTGCAGGCGCTCTCTGTGCGTCTGTGATAGGCAGATCGTGTTGCTAGGTAATAACGTTTGGGGATCCGCATCCCGTTCCACCAATCCGGCCCTTCTCCAACTCGTTCTTGCCGCACAACAGTTCTTATCACCTGTGTATCTCAGGGTTTAAGGCCCAAGGCAATGATGAGAGGCCACCGAAGGCCTCTTCCGGGAGATCGCCTCGCTTTGCTCTCCTGCCCTTCCAAGGCCTCGTTTTACGCTCGTCGAATGTAACACACCAACAACCTTTCACCCTACTGCCTTCGCGTATTACCCGACCACCCCTCCTTGTCGGAGTCCCTCCACTTAACGCCCACTCCTTCCCATATTTTCCTTCCCGGCTGGGACTGAACCCCCTGCATGTCTGCAAGCGTCCGGAATGAGTGACCAGTTGCATCGTATAGCTCGGGACTCCAGCAGCTGGTGCTTTGGGCGTCGGGGCAGTTGCCTCGCTTGACTTTTGCCAACGAGCACCCCTTCTGCATTAACCATATCTGTATAAAACATATGATGTTGTTACAGGGTGGTTAAGCTTTACCAGCGGCCCCCTTTCCCGAGGCAGTTCCCTGGTCTCCCCTGCTAGAGGGGCACCCTAATCCGTTCACCACATCCGACTTCAGAATGTATTCGTTGGGTTCAGCAACTCACCACCAGCATCCAACCAAATCTAGCGGATCAACGGCGCCACAACTTAGTTCCTGGTCAGCTCGCAAATTGCTATAATCACGTCCTACACCGTCCACAAGTTGGGGAGCCACCTCCCATATCAACACCCCTCACACACCGAAGGGTTGGCAGGCGGATTTGAACCCGGAACCTCCGGGAGCAGAAGTCAGGCCTTAACTTCTGCCAGCCACCTGCCTAACATATATCTGCATGAACCATATCTCCGCAACACAGTTATCTGCATGAACCATACATATCTGCATCACCCATATCTGCATCACCCACATATGCATAACCCACATATGCAAAACCCATCCAGGCTCTCCAGGTGTTGGACTACCTGCTTCAGAGGGGTAGTCAGCATTGTTGTAATGCGGCCCAGGAGCTTGTCGTGCCGCTGGGAGCTCTGCAGAACTTTGCTTTTGTGGGACCGGACGGGAAGGATCACGGAATGAATGTCCGGAAGAGGTAGGGAAGACAGCAGGGGGCAGTTGGCTGGGTTCACCCGTTTATGGTGTCTGCTCGGCGGTCTTATATGTGCGTATGAATGCGTGTTTATGTTGAGGTTACGAAGCAGTCGTAAGGTCATAAGCACATTGTTACAATTGACTGGCGCACACTGCTCCCCAAAAGATTTTTTACGGGCTACAGGCAAACAACTTCGCTTTGCAAGGAAAGGTGTGAGCAGCAAAGCTCATGTATCACGGGGTACACGGGAAAGCTGGCTTTAAAAGTTTGCATGTCCGCACCACTCCTCCTCCTCATCATCATCATCTGCTGTCGCCCTTCCCTTCAACGTTTACCTTGCTTTCCATTCTTATCCTCTCACCACAGGGCCGAGGCGGTTAAGGCTATGATCCTGGACTCCGAGACACTTGAAAAAAAGCGGGCGGAGTTTGCGGCGCGAGCGGGCAACATGAAGTTTGCTGGCTACTCCAGGGAGGAAGCCATGGCCGCTGCAGCGGCGGCGAAGGGCGGCGGCGGCGGCTACAGCGGCGCACCCTTTGCAGGAACGACGAGCACGGACTCTTCCCCGGGCGGGCCCTTGACGCCTGCGCCAGCGTTGGCGCTCTGGGATGCGGCCGGTGACGGGAGCAGCAGGGAGGGGACCGCTGTCGGTTGCCCGGCTACCACTCCCATGGCGTCCTTGGGGCCGCCCGGGAGTCCGCCTGGGGAATGTCCGGCGTCGCCTTCGACGTACAGACCGCCGTCAATGCTCCTCGTAAGACAGGTGGGGGCTGGCTAGGACTTAGGAGGTACTGATAGGTGTCTTGTTCGGCAGGGTGAAAGCGAGAAGGACGCTCAACGCGTATGGGACAGCACACGCAAATTGCAAGGGACCTCCACAGCTTCATTCCACAGCCAGGGACTTGCACAGCTTCAAGGACTTGTCGTCATTGCGCTCGGTCTATGCCGTGCCAAAGTCACGCACACAGCTTTTTTGCGCGGTTTCGCACGTTGTGACCTGGCCAATGCAGCTTCTTGGATGGCTTGTGAGTGCACAGCTGGCTGCGGTGACGGCGCTGCCCCCCGCTGCAACCCCCTGTTGGCGCTTGCGTATTGATATATAACGAGGTCCTCCATCACAGCCATTTCTGCGCACTCCGCATCCTCTTTCAAACCAAACCAAATCCATACGAGCCCCGTCAGACCAGAATGACACCCTCTGCTGTCCCGTCCCCACCTTGAAGGCTTCCTCCGCTACTCGGCTGGGTCAGCAGCTGTCGTCCTCCCTCCGTAATGCGGGGGAGACCAAGGGCGTCACGTTCGAGCAGAACAAGCGGCAGTTGGAGCAGCTGCGGCAGCTGGTCTTGCTCAAGGTAGGATGTAGGAGCAGAGCACCCCAAATACTGTTGCGGTACCCTTTACGCCTTTTGGGGTTTCCCACCGGGTTCCGTCTTGTGTAGCTGCTTACTACGGGACAAAACCCGGGAGGAGATGCACCCTGAGAAGGGATAAAAATCCTATGTTTTGTTCATCGCCCTTCCGTCTCCGCGTTGCCCGTCCGGCCTTCTTTCATCACCCTACTCACGCCACGCCCTCTCCGGCCGATCGTGGGCTGTGGGGCCGTCTTCACTCATGCGCTCGTGCACAGCTGATTCATATCACAAACTCAACAAATTTGTTCTCTCCTATGGCTGGACCGTTTCGAACAGGACAACACCACATGCGCGGACTGTGCGTCAGCTGCCGCTGCGGCCCGACCCACTTGGGCTTCCATCAACCTGGGGGTCTTCATCTGCATGCGCTGCGCGGGGATACATCGCGGCCTGGGCGTGCACATCTCAAAGGTGGGTGGGACATCTGGGTGTGCTTCCTCCTAGTGTGTGAAGGTCCACCTAAATCAGTAATGGAAGTCTGGGAAGTTGTTGCCTGGGGAGACGCATGGGAGCTTGTGTCCGTGCAAAACTAAAAATTTGAAGCTTGGAGAGTTTTTTCCAGAATCGTTGAGTCAGTGGAGCTGGGTAAATAACGGGGCGGTGGCGTGGTGGCTGTTGACTGCTTCGACTTTACATGGAATGGGTGGCGGGGACTGGGGCCGAGGCTTAAGCAAGGACAAATAAATTATCCACAGGCTCGTGGAGCATGGATCTGACTGCGGAACAGAAGGGATCGCGCCGCGGCTGGGGACGGTGCTAGTACGTATGTGTGTGTGTGGGGGGGGGGAGAAGGGTCACCGTCGGCACTCCATGCCTGCTCTCCTTTTGGTATGTTGCTGGTTACGGAACTGCTACTCTAGGGAAGAACTACGACTTCTCCATGCGCAGTGGCCGCTTTCCTACGCCATCACTGGTCAGTAAATATCCCTGCAAAAGCATTCCTCTTCTCCTGGACTATCCGTCTTATCTCTGGTATCTGCTTCATTCGCCAGTGGTTCGTCTTTTACCCCCACACCCACGCCCTCCTGTGTGTTCATCCCACTCTACGTCCTGCGTCCTGTGTGTGCTGCTCCCTGTGTTGGCCGCCGCGGCCCCCCCCCCTGTCTCTCCCCGTGGACCAGGTCCGCTCCACCACTTTGGACACCTGGCTGCCGGAGCAGGTGGATATGATGGCTCGCCTGGGAAACCGCCGGGTAAGAAGGGAACATTATGGGCGTGTATGCATGCAAGTGTAATGGGGAAGAAGAGTACTGCTGCCTCCGCACGAGTGGTTGCGGCCACAGGGCGTGCGTGCGCGTGTGAACTCCACGGGCGTTACTGTACAATGTATAGGCGCGTCCAATATAGGTACATGGCTTGTCCGGAAAAAAGCCATATCACTAGTCGAATCCATAGGGGCCTTGAACTTGAGGCCTTGGACTCTGGGGCCACCTTTCGGCGGCGGCCTGCTCGGTGCTCGGCTCGCTGTAAACTTTGCTTGATGCTGCACAGGTCTTGTCTTTCAGCCTTGGTCTACGTTTCTCTGCGCTTGTTTGTGTACTGATCCGCAAATTGTGTTGACAAGTGTCGACCTGCGCTTGTCGCTACTGTTTTGTTACAGATCGGCAAGGGCCTGTGTTCGTCTGTGCTGGCTTACATGTGCGTGCTAACATGTGGCGGTGCTGGTCGCTACGTCTCTGTTCTGATCAACAGCCGCCTGTCCTGGCTTTGTTGGTCTGCGGGCTGTCTCGATCATGATGTGATGTGGGACGGGGCTGGCTGCCTAGCTGCGGCTGCTTCGGGGCTTGGTGAATTCGGGCGGGGAACGCTCCCTTCGGTCCCTCGGCCAGTCATATGCGCTACGGCCTACGGGACGTGCTTTATTGTTGATTCCGTCCCATAGCGCTCATAGCGTTATGTGTTGCCAATTGATCGCTCAAAGTTGCGCACTTGGCAGCGGCTTTTGCGCCCGCGGTAGAGGAAAGAGAGGAAAGGCGCCATCATCGCCATCACACTTGCCGCCACGGCCGTTCCCGCCGCTGCCACATCCACAACCACCAGTGCCTCAGCCGCGACGGCTGTTGCCTTGAAAACCAATTTCAAAACACTCATTTAAAGCCCATCATGGCCCGCAGGCGAACGCGTATTTTGAGGCCAGGTTGGATTCCGCCACACGGCCCAATCGCGACAGCACCCACGACCTGGAGCGCTTCATTCGGCTCAAGGTGCGTTCAGTTTTTTTCTTCAGTGGCCATCATGAAAAGGACCGTAAAGGGTGAGGACCCTGCGGGTGGGAGTGGGCAGGGGGATTGTGCACGGGGACCCATCCGTCATCACGGACGGTGGCAACCTAAGCCTAGCCAGGATTCGGTTTCCCCTCCCATTTCGCTCCTCCTCCTCCTCCTCCTTTATCAGCCGACCACACTACGCTAGGCCATTGCAGCCTGACCCAAGATCTGACCCAATTTCAGCAGAGCCGCCTTTAGTTTGCTAATTCGTAATCCCCTTTTGCTGTTCATTCGTCTATCGGTCTACCTCTCCACCTGGCAGTCCTGACCCTTGGCATCTGCCAAACTTGATAGCCCTTTTCCCACTCCCCCCGGGAAAATCTAACGGGCACTAACTACATTTACATGGTTTTCCGCTTCCGTGTGTCTTCATCAACAGTACGCAGACAAGGCCTGGGCTGCCAACGGCCCCTGGCCTCCGGAGGACGGTGTGGCCATCGTGACAGCCTCAGGCCCGCAGGCGCCTCAGTCAGGCTCAGCCTCGGCTAAGCAGCCTAGCGGCGCGGCCGGCGGCGCACCGTTGCTGTGCTCCCCGCCGCCGCCGCTCCCCGGCAACTCCATTCCTCCCTTCAACTTGGATTCCGCCTCCGCTTCTGCCTCGAGGGGAGTTTCCTTGTCCCCGGTTGTGGATGTGGCCTCCTCGGGTGGCGGCTTCGGTGATGCGCCGCCCGCCTGGCCCTCTCCTGCCCCGTCAGTGACCCCGCCAACTAGCGCTGGGACATCCAATCTAGGGATGTTGCGGCGGCAGGGGATGCTGCAGGAAGGGCAATGGATGGGCCAGCAGCCACAACAGAGTTTCGTGCCGTCCAGGCTGGGGCAGACGGCTGAAGCTCCCTGGGCGGTGGCGCCTGCCGCCGCCGCCGCCGCGGCCGCCGGAAAGAGTGCCGCTGGCGGGACGGCGGTGCGGCTGCTGCCGCCGCCGCCGCCGCAACCCTTGCCGCCGCCGCCGGCATCTGGTCTCGCGGTAGGTGCAGGCTTCGGAGCAGCGGGTGCAGCCAGTGCTGTGGCCCCATCGGGCCAGGAGGGGATTGGCTTGCTGTCTTCAACGACGGACTTGCTACAGCTGGATAGCGATGAAATCGAGCAAGATGGCGAGGACATGGAGAGCGGTGGCGAGGGCACGGATTTGCGCGGAGGCGCTGGAGGTGTGTTGGCGTCGGATGCGGCGAATACTTTCCTGTTTGTGCGTGTATGTGTTTATGGGCCTCTAGGAGACTGTTACCATTGCCAGTCCTTGCCCCTCAGCTTTCCCGCCTTAACGTTCTTTCCTGCTACGTTCGTACCTGCTTCCGTTCCTTTCATCTTGCCGCCTTTGCTTCCTGTGTGTGCAGGTGGCCCGGGTGCCGGAAGCAGCCTAGCGCTATGGGACTTGCTCGACCTGAATGTGGGAGTGATGGACTTTTTGGAACGAACGGAAGGAGGCTGCCATCCACATCCACATAAACATCCGCAGGCTGAGGAGCGGCAGCAGCAGCAGGAACCACACCGACTGCTGGTGTCGAGCGCACCACCGGTTGTTGGCGGCCCTGGCGCTGGCGCCGGCCCCCAAGCCGTACCCGCTGCTCAGCTCACGTCTGATAGTGCGGTGCCTACGACGGGCTTGGCTTATTTGAGCACGGCCGCCGGCTGCCTGCCGGGGTTTGGAACCCCAGCCTCGACGGATGAGGCGACGGCGGTGGCGGCGCCGTCGTCTTCGCAGGGTATGGGTATGGGCACAAGCGGGAGGGCCACCTACGTTACCGGCCCGACGCGTCTGGGGGTAGCTGACTCCGTGATAATGACGTCAGAGTTTCCAGTATATGATCTTTTGACACCGCTTCCGACGGGAGGCGGTGCGCCGCCTCCGATGGCGATAGGGCCGACGGCGGCGGTGGCGACAGCAGCCGGACCCACCCTGGCCACCAGCCGCTTCGCCGCCATCAACGTCGCCGCGCCTACCGCCAGCGCACCTACCGCCAGCGCGCGACCTGTGGATGCGCCACCTAGGGCATTCTCTCCGCCATTTCCGCCGCCGCAGCAGCATCAGGTGCAGTATCCGGCGACCCAGCAGCCTTCAAGCGCCATCCAGCAGCTGAGCAATGGCGGCGTCACGGCCGTGGCTACAATCTCAACCACAACTGCCGTTTTTACTCCCAACACCTCCGGAGGAGGATTTCAGCCGAACAGCAGCTTTGGGAGGTCAGTTGGAATGGCGCGGATGGGCCATGGCAACGGCATGGGCATGGTTATGGGCATGCGAGGCGCTGCACCGCATCCGGCTTCTGCTGCTACTGCTGCCCACGGGCCTGCCATGGACCTGGACAACCTCCTCGCGATGCAACTGGACAACCTCGATGCCAGCCTTGCGAAAGGCCCCAATGCGAGCAGCGGCGGCGGCAGCGGTGCAGGAGGTGGGAAGCCTAGCTGGCAGGCGTCAGGGTCTGTTGGAGGTGTGTTTGGCAGCATGGGTGGCGGCTACGGCTGAGGGAAAAGGTGCGATGAGGGAAAGGAGCCAACCCTGGCTTCAGTCCCTGGCAAGCAGCTTCAGGCCGCGCATGTACGCGTCATAGCTGCCAAAGGACGCAGCAGTGCGTGCACCGCATGTGACTCCACTGTCCGCCTTTTTTCATCTTAGGCTTACAATAAGGTGCGATTAAGCCGGGCTAGGCCGGACAGATGCTTTCCAATACAACGGGTTGCCATGGCAGTCAACGATGTGCCTCCGGTTGTGTGGCGGCGCTTATCCTCAAGAGACTCCAAAGGAGACGCAAACGATCCAGAGGGACGGTGGATGCGTTGTACTTCAGACGTTGTACTTCAGACGTTGTACTTCAGACGTTGTACTTCAGACGTTGTACTTCAGAGCTACAGAGCCTCAGGGAGGGAAGGCTGCTGTGTAGGTTCAGGAACCTGGGGCGCCATACCCCGGGCGCCAGGTTTGGTTGGATAGTGACAAGTTGATGTCGGGGGGAATGTGGGTAACAGGGTGTGAATGGTGGTGGTCGTCGCCGTGGTCATGGTGGTTGCGAACCAGTTACAGTCTAACTAGCTGAGGGATGGTGTGAGGACGTGTCACACGTTGTGGGAGTGTTTTGGTTGGTGGCGGGTAGTCTGCGGTGCCCGCGTGGCGCACTATAAAGGGTTGAGTACATGGACAGGACATGACAGCTGGCAATGAGCGGTGGACGACGTGACGCGTCTTTTGTCGGCCCATGGAGCGGCCCATGATCGCACTATGGATAGCCAAGCCAGGCTCGTCGTCGCCCTCATCCGCCCCTCACTGCCCACTGCTGGTCAGTTGTTTGTGGACAGAGGCGTCATAACGTGAACTGACTAGACCACACCGCACCGCCGTAGACAACAATGTTAGACAGCGCACCATTTCGACCGCTGTATCCGTCCACCCTGGGCCGCGTCCTCTGCATCGCAATCCGAGGGCAGAGAGCTCCGGAGCTGCTTTCCTGCTTTTCCTTAGGGTGTGTGTCGCTCCTCCTCGTCCGCGGCAGCTTCATTCTCCGGGCAGCGAACACCCGCTTCTGGTCGCACAGCGGGTCACCATGGTAAACCTGAGGAGGCACATGAGGAGTGCTACTGCACTAGCTAGCTTACAGGATGGGAGCATCCCCACGTCTGTATGTGTGTGTGGTTGTGTGGTTGTGTGCGTCCAGTTATCGATTGGCCCAACTGGCTGAGCAGCAACCAGTAGCTCCTGCATACCCTGTGTGCTTCTGGGCCATATCAGCCTGGGACAGATCACTTGAGGGCCTCTGGCATGTCGCCTCCACATTTGGGGGCACCACTGTCGCATTATGACGTTGTGGTAGTCTGGGCGCATGGATTGGAGACCTCCATATGCACTACGCGCAGAAGCGCGTACAATTTGGTTTATAGACTTTAGTTTATAGGCTGCAGCAGTCGCAGATAGCAGCATACTAAGGACAGGCGGAGACGTAAGGAAAATGGATTTTGCAGTCGTTTTGATGGTTTCTAGAAGTTTTCCTTTGCGACGCGTTATGTGAGTCTCAGGGCGTCGTCAGTGAACCAGATCAGTTTAGAATCCGCTCAGGGGCTCAGGCAGGTCATATGCACGAGGGAAATTTGAACGCCAAATCGTGGGCTGCAACAGCGATGAAGGTAGCGGTTAATCGTGAGTGTCAATACGGTTCTACTAAAGGGTTTGCTTGTGTCTGCTTGCATAATACATTCTTGGGAGGAGCCATTTCCTCCATCCTGACTGGGAAGACTCCCGCACGCCGTCCGGCATGTAGCCCCGCGTCCGTGTTTTTCGGCGAAGGGGGAACGCACACCATGCGCGGCAAAGATGCGCGTCAGTTCTGAACCCTGTCGCGGCTTTGGCTGCACGCCGGAATATTAGGCACACGCACGCACGCATGGATTTTTCCTCCCGGGTTCGATTTCGTTCGCGGCGGCTGCAAATATCGCGTGCAGTGTCCATACGGGTGCTTGTACATAAACCCTGTGCAGGTCATTTTTTACATCATTGCCTCATTTCCAGAGGGGAGTTTTGCCCCATTGTGGACGTCACAGTGGTATGTGCGTGTGGGTGGATGAGGGGACGGTGGGAGCGTGTGGCTTGGAGTGAGTTGGGGCATATCACTTGCATGCGATGGTGGTGAGGGAAGGAGGGCTGTGTGTGTGCTCTCAATTGAATGTGCGCTCAAGGGCGCGCCGTAGGCGTGTTTGTGGTTGAAGCTTCCCCAAAGCGAGTTGTCATTTTGGAGACGGAGACGGTTCAGACAATTTCGCTGTTGTTCGCTGCCAGGAGCTCAAAATCAAGGCCCAGGCATTACGCCCTGGAGCAGAAGCAGACAGAAATATGTTCTGTACAGTTGACCTGATCGTGGAAGGGCTGGAGGGCCGGACTAAAACGCATTGCATTGGTCGGCTTCCCCCCTCCGCTTCATTGGTCGGCTTTCGTAGGAGGGATTGTTGGGTTGCTCTGGGCAAGTCCAAGGAGATTCTTTTGGACTCTTTGCGTTGGTTTTAGGGGAGCTTTTGAGAGAAGCTAGTGCGGTATCTGTATATGTGGAGGGCAATGTGCGCAGGCTGGGCTGGGGCCAGGCCGCAACGGCCAGGAACCGTTCAGCCGCCGCCGTGGGCCGGGTCTGCCTTAACGTTCGGTTCCCTCGTTAGGGTTTAGTTGGGGCTGGGATCTGTGTTCGTCAAAATCCATTTCCAGCGAAAGGTTGGTTAGCAGTGTGACCAGCTTTTGCGACAGGCCAGGCGTGCACGCCTGTATGCTGCCCCGGTATACCGTACTGTACCATTTTCGACATCCGGGAATCCGTGGAAACCTCAGGAATGTGGTGCCAGCTTAGCATTGCGGTGCCCATTAATATACAAAGCGTTGATGGGCCTCCTATGTAACGAGGGTAACGTTGATGGAATACGAGTCCACTGGTGGGTAATCTGTCCTGCAGTTGGCAAGGCTGGGTTGGGCAGCAGGCACAGCTTCTGCGGGCCGTGTGAGAGTCCCCTGGCACAGCCTGGTAATTGTTCCGCTCATGCTGGCCCCGTTCACCTTGTTTCGGTACGTGTAAAGTATAATCGATGTGGATGCACGACATGCACGGTTACGCATTAAGATAAACAGATAGTGCCGTAAGTCTGCTGTGCTATTGTGCGACTTAATAAGGCGCTTGCGGTTTGATGTAGAGATTATAATACGCTATGGTAGCGATCTAGGTTAATGTGTCAGTCCAAGCTGAAGTAAGCAAGCAAGGCCTCCACAAGAAAGACAGGAATATGTGACGCTTCTAGCGGCTGGCGGAAACGCGCAAGCTTGGTAAAACTTGCGGTGCCCAGGTACTGCATTACACGCATGCACGATGTGCTCAGTCGCCCATACATGTTATACGTGGTGCTGTATTCACTGCGCGCACATGAAAAACCTGCAGAGAACGAGCAGTCCCCGCCGCTTACAGCCGGCCAGCGAGGGTCTCCAGCGCGTAAAGCAAGAACCAAGGGGCACGACACCGCACCGCACCGCACCAGCTATCAAGGAGTAAAAAGGGAGCAACTGCGCATCCAAAGTCACGGCCCGATGTGTGGTTGGAATCCATCTAGCTAAACGCTACTATCCTAAAGCTAATAGCCTGAAGCAACCAACGGACAGGTGGAAGCACGCATACGAAAGCTAGCAATGGTATCACTGCTGCAGAGCAAGGCACGCACGATTTGTGAACGCACGTAAGGAGGCAGCATCTTTTCCATAACGCAAGCTCTCTGCCTCGTAGTTGATCCAATCATGACACGGAGATGATGAGGCAAGGGCCACAAAACTGTCTCCAGCTGCATTACCCAGAGCACACAGGGCCGGACAGAGCGAGAGCGGCCAAACCAGGTCAAAATTTCGGTAGGACAGTAGCTACCGTACGGCAGCCACCGTACACTACCGTACTTCAGTTACGAAAACGTACCGCGCGCACGCACGCACGCGTAAATGTCCGGCCATAATGCATTAATAGCATGAAAATTAAGCAGCAGAGAAGAAGCACGCCTCTCAAAGGATTGTCTAAGGCGGCAGGACAATAACATCGACATGCAATCACGTGCAAACACGCAATGGTATGATAATAGAACCCGGCGACAGACTTGCAAGCAAGAACGCAAGAAGTGAATTAGCTAGGACGACAAGAATGCGTGCAGGCAATACAGCAAACGAACAAAAGTGCCGCCGGTGTTTGGGAAAACGAGTTAAGTGCAGCAAGGGCATATGCTGCAATTGCGCCCGTTCCTGCTCATCGCAAGCAAAATAGAGGAAAAACGAAAATCCACGAAAGCAAAAGTAAAGAAAGAAAATGATCACGGCCGATTAATAAGCGGGCGCTAAGCCGCTAACGAACCCTGCTGGACACTTGGGGTTGCTGTGCGATTTTACCTATTACAATTGGAGGACCCCGCACCTACAAACACATACACACTTCTGGCTGTAGGAGATTGAATTCTTCAATCGGTTGATCTAGCTACGTCTAGCTACGACAGGCAGCACGCAAAATGGGATGTATGCATACATGCCATCCAAGGTATATCCGAATTGCAAACAAATCCAAGTCTATGGTATGCACGGCTAGCTGGCGACAAGCAAGCTTCTTACCAACTCGCCACCTCCAAGAACCTAAATACGTGTAGCTACCTGCCTTCCTACTCAACTAACTAAACCTCAAACTACGAGCATTATAACACGAGCAGGATTACGTACGAGACTAGATCCACGGCGTAGCGTACGTCGTAGCCCGCACGCTGCAAGACTCTGCAAAACGCTGCATGGATGCATCCACGCCATTCGCTGTTACGTTTGCAGCCAAGATCCATTGAAAGTCCAGCTTCTACTGATTGAACGGCCTTTTCCGAAAGCCGATCATAACAACCAAAGACAAGTACGTTGGCCTAGTGTCTCCTAAAGACCCGCCCTTCTGCTACAGGATAGGCGGCTGTCCTTAACCTCTACAATGCTTCAATCGC